CTTCTTGCGACCCTGTTGACTATTTTGAATGAAACGCTTGATTGTTCGATGATCACGCTTCAGAAGCTTTGCAATTTTAAGAGTGCTGCATCCCTCTGCAAGATATCTCACTATTTTTGACTTTTCTGAGCCTGTCAAGTCCTTCTTTTGACCCATTTTGCCAAAGGAAAGGAAGTTGCCTAATAATTATGCACACCTGATATAGGGTGTTGATGTCATTAGACCACACCCCTTCTCATTACAGAGATGCACATCACCTAATATGCTTAATTGGTAGTAGGCTTTCGAGCCTATACAGCTTGGAGTAAGACAACATGCATAAAGAGGATGATGTGGTCAAAATACTCATTTGCCTAATAATTCTGCACTCCCTGTAAAAGACCTTTGTCCCACTCAAATCTTTCCTGACTCCTATCTTCCTGGGGTCTCTCGGCTTCCTTCCTGTACCCTACTAACGTGGGGTCGGCCCTCTGTTCCTGCTCAAAGCCTGGAGGGGTATCCCAGAATGGTGAAGGGTCGGGGGGAGGGAAAGGGACTGAGTGTCCTACCTGAGGTTCCTCGGAGTGCGCTGGCTCCGCTCTGCATGCTTGAGCCCGAGTAGTCACTGGAAAAGACTCAGCTGCTGAGTTGCGGTTAAGTTGAGATGTCATGCAACCCACATCGTTCCCTAGTAGCACCTACACAGGGAGGTCTTTCATAAGGCCAACATCCAGGTGCTTATCTCCTGAGCCCCAATTGATGTGGACTCAAGCCATTGGGAGCTTGTGGATGGCTCCCTCTGCAACTTTCACGGCCACAGTCTTATGAGTACGAGCTTGAGCCCGAACCATGTGAGGCTGGATCAGAGTGAGGCTGGCTCCGGTGTCTCTCAGAGCCTGAGCATCCATCCCCTCTACGGTGACCCACTGCCAATGATGGTCTCGGTTGTTACTGGCCGCTTGTGCTGGGTTCGCCTCGTGAAGAGTAGTCCATTGTTCCTTGTTGTGCCCTGAGACTGGGAACTCATCCTGTTGGCAACAATGGTGCTGCCCAGTCCCAATTTCCCCTGGTCCTGTTGGGGCAGTGTTGTTTCATATGCCCCGGCTGTTTGCAGAGAAAACAAGACATCGGCCACAGTTTTTGGGGGTTGGTGCAGGAGTGTAAGGAGCCGATCTAGTAGGTAGCGGGGCAGATGGTACCTGGCAAGTGGGTCTGGGAGCCAGTCGCCCCCTGTTGGGATACAGACGTAGGCCACCCTGAGTCATCTTCTGTATCTCCTTCCGCATTCCTTATCGGACTGCTTCAGGGGTACGGTAGGGGGGTTGTCGGAGAGGGGCTTGTCCCAGGGTCTCTACCTTATGTACAGCAAGGGTCGTGTAGCCCGGTTCTTGGGAGAAAATCGCCTGTTTCTCCCACAGAAGCCGCTTAGCTTGCTCCTTCTCTGTGTGGCTTAGCTGTTTTACTAGCTGTACAAGGCTAGTAAGGTCAGTCTGGGGCTCTCTCTCTAACAAGTCAGGGAGGGGTAAACTCTCAGAGTTATCTGCAGCAGGGCACATACTGCAGTGACATCCTCCTGCCTTTCCTGGTATTCCTTTAGCATGTTCACATGAAAGGATCGCTGGATCCTTTCATCTGCACAGCTGGCAATGACATACACCTGGGCTACTACTTTATACAGGCCCTGCCAAGATGCCTGCATTTTGTCGGTCTTCACAGGCTTGAGTAGCAGGACTTTCTGCCCAACCTGGAAGACATTCTGTTGGGCACCCCAATCATACCATCTTTTCTGTCTCCCCTAGGCCGCCTAGAGGTTCTCTTTTACCATCAGAGACAGTTGCTCCATGTGGTCCCGGAGTTCCAGAACATATGGCACTATGGGGCTCCCCTCCTGCTCTGTCTCTCCCTCCCAGTATCCTCTAATGAGATCCTGGGGTCTGTGGACCCTTCTCCCATAGAGTAACTCGAAGTGAGAGAACCCAGTAGATTCCTGGGGTACCTCTCTGTATGCAAATAACAGGTGAGGTAGGAATCTCTCCCAGTCTCTGCAAGCATCAGTAAAGGTCCTCAGCATTTGCTTGAGGATGCCATTAAAGCGCTCGCAAAGACCGTTAGTCTGGGGGTGGTAAGATGAGCTAAACAAGGGCTTAATATTGCACACCTCCCACAACTGCTGGGTGAGCACAGCGGTACATTGGGTTCCCTGGTCAGAGAGAATCTCCTTATGGAACCCCACTCTAGTAAAAATCTTAACCTGGGCATCAGCTACTGTCTCTGCTTCAATATTGGACAGAGCTCTGCCTCTGGGTAATGGGTGGCATAATCCCGGATGGACTAGGCCTGGCCAGTGGACCCACAATGTCAACGGCTATATGGGAGAAGGGCTCCCCAATAATAGGCATGGACATAAGTCTGGCCTTAGGGTGGTCCCCCCTCTTACCTATCCGTTGACATGTGTCACATGTATTACAGTATTGTCACACAGCCTGGTTGAAATTCTGTGCAACGAGACCCTAAATGTCTGGCTAATGGTACATCATGCCCAATTCGCAGAATTTCCTGCCGGTATTTTGCAGGCACCACCAGCTGTCGTTTCTATGAAGAGGCTTTACTCCTCTGGGATGGCTTAGGGATCCTATACAGTCTATCCCCCACCCACTCAAAGCACTTCCCATCTACCCCCTCCTCCTGGGCATCTGCCTGTCGCGAATCCACTCTCTGACCCCTGTGGTCAGCCTATCGTATAAGTGTTCCAGCAGGAACAATTGCAGCACTTTTTACCTGGATACTGCCTGGCATCCAGCGACCCAGCTTCCACAAAGTTTTTAAAAGCAGCGAAATGTACCCTTTGCTTTCCATTTATGGTTGGTATTTCTGCTGCTGCAGCACCTCTTTGTTGCAGGAGCAGTCCGTTTGCTTCCACAGCTGCTATGACACGCTCAATGATGTCTGGTGTAGGGTTGGGGCCAAAATGTGCCTGCCTTATGTTGACTGCCCAGTCAAAGCTTGCATCTTTGGGTGTCCGGTCAGTTATGATGGGTCTTTTGGCTCAATCCATCTCCAGCAGCTCTGTAATGATGTCCCTCTTCCTTCAGTTACTAGCTGGTCGGCCACAGTTCTCCAGCAAGTCCTTAAGGGTAGAGCGCTTTAATTGCTCGTAATATGTTTCCATCAGCTTGTGTCTTTGTAGCTGTCCTTCTGGGCTGTAGGAATCATCCCGTTGCTTGCCACCAGTTGTTACAGCACCCCAGGTAGGGAAGGGGTTAAAGCCTTGTAAGATGTTCCCTTTCTAAATGCAAAGGTAGCTACCAATCACTCTAAACAGCCAAACAGAAATCATACGAATCATCCACACCATACTAATGCTCCAAACAGCCGAACGGGTGAAAACCATACGAATAAATCCCCCCAAGTACGAGACAAAGCTCCGTATTGAGGGTCAGCAGGAATCTGGTTTAATGTGGGCTACCTGCCCGGTATTTAAGCAGGTCTTCCACCACGTGGACACTCCCCTAGGGGACCTGGTGGAAAACTGGTACAAAATATTACAGTAACCAATCAGAGCATTGCAGAGATAAACACTCCCACTGGCATATTGTAAACCCTCCTCTCTATCCTGGAGATAATTGGGAAGTAACTCAATTATCTTTAAGGATAGAGGCTAAGACTCCATTTTAAATGTGGTGATAAAAACACACAAAAATATATAATATAAAAACTACCGAACAGAATATGGGCATTCAACACATCCCCAGATAGCTTAGCTCTGAGTGCACATTATTACCGAATGGCGCTCAGATCCCATACACACAGTTCAGTTGCCATGGAGCCAAAAGTCTTTCACATAGTCTTTCATTATACGAATGGGCTCCATGGCATAGCTATCTGAGGTAAGTCCATTTGTGCAGAAAAGTACCGACCGGCGTTCGTATGCTGGATGAACAGAAGAAGGGAGGTGGGCGGCTTCAGCGGTGTTCGTGAGAAAAATAGTGTCCGTTTTTTAGTTTCCATGAAACCGTCGACAAACACCGCTCGGCATTCGTACGTGCAAGATGGCCACCGCCTCGTGGTCGGCAAACAAACGACGACCACCCAGTCGGCATTCGACAATTAGGAAGTGTCTGTGTTTAACCACAACGTTCTGATGAGGCCAAGAGGTTAACAAGCAGCACACTTCCATGCTGGGTGGCCGCCGTTCGGCAATTATTCTGTAAAATGAAGAAAATAACGTGGGAGCTGTACGGACAGGGAAATAGCCGAACAAACAGACGAATGAAGGGAAAATAAAAGTAATTCACAGACAGATGGTTCTGTCACAAACACGAAAGAAATATGCAGGGCCTTCAATTCTCTCAACGCCCGTGCCCACTTCTGTGAGGAGTTGAGTCCCTTAGCGTTGATTGTATAGAGCGTGAGGATGGGTTGGGGCCATTTTGAGCCACGGGTTGGAAGACAGAGAGGGGGTTCGTCATGTCTGGGTAGTCAGGGGCGGAGGAGGGGCGGGATGGGGCATGTACATAAGGGGGATGGAATAAGTTGAGAGGTGGGGCAGAAAGAGATGAGGGAGGGAGTAGAGGAGGAAAGAAGAGGAAAGATAGAACAAAACATCAAAACAAAACACGAAGCCCGGGGGGCGGGGCCTGACCGCAGAGCCGAGAGGACATGCACCTCAAGAGCCCCTGCACCAAGAGATTCTAAAATCCAATTTTCATGACCCAAAATCAACTAACCGAGCCATAAAGGCCAGCAACTGAAAGGGGACACTAGACGGAGCACAATGACACCCGACAAGCAGCATGATGAGCGTAACTTTCCAATCCGGTGTCTGGGGCCTACTCACATGGCAAGCGCGGGAGGGACGGCCACCCTCCCACTGCCATGTCTAGCAACCTCGGAGCATAAGGGCCTTTGTCCCCCTCCTGGACCGGCGGGGGCATCCCGGTCCACCCACCCAAGAAAGTACCTGCATCTGGGGCGATCTGGGGCACAACCCCGAATGAGCGGCCCCACGAGGCCCACCCAAGATGGCCGACGGCAGTGCAGTACACCTGGAACACGAGACCATCAGCAACTGGGCAGCGGCCTTTCAGGCCAAATTTGATGTGGTATGCCAGAAATTCTGTGAGCTTTGGGAGGAAAAGAACCAGTCTCCTGCTCCGAAACTTATCGCAATGGCATCTAACCCAGAGGCACCACCTCAAGCACAGCCAAGGCGCCCATCCACACAGGAAACATCACGGGTGCGGGCACACAGCACTGCGGCCCAGCAGAGACCTCACCCACCACAAGGCTGCCCGCATACGTGGCCCCCACACGTTGCGGCACAGCCGCGACAAAAAAAGAGGACGACAGGCGGCGAAACAGAAGAAACACAGGGGCACTAACTGCCCACAACTGCCACACAGAGCCCGCCCGACAGGCATGAGAGGCCGAGACATACGACCACCCACCCTGCTGACGGCCAGCAACAGCACGCCGATATAGCCTGGACCCAAGACATCACAAAGGAAACCACCTTACCAGCACAAGGCCCAGCATCTGCCGCTGCCCCACAAGATGATGCAGGGATATACCACTGCATCCCCCAAAGATAAGAGGTGTCCAATAAAGGCCGGCGTCGGATGAAACCCTATCCTGAAAACCCATAGCCTGAAACCCGCAACCAACGCCGGCACAGTATCAACACATGATTGGACATTTTTGTTACAACCCACTTGGTATTTTCCCGAACTCTGCCTGACCGCAATGGGCATAGGACAGGTAGCCTGTGATCAGAGGAACACTCACCCTAACAGTAAGATTTGACCGTAGCCGCTGATTTCAAAGCCTTTGCTAATTATTTGCTAATTATATTTGCTTATTTTTAATTCACACAATCAGCATTCACAAGCAACAAAATCAGTAAATAATTTGGTTAGATATATAAAATTGTGCTATATGAGACTGAAAACTAAAACAGCAAAAACCATACTTAATTTAGTGTGCCAATTGATCAAAGGTTCACCCTGCAGCAGCAAAACAGATTGATCAACATCTGGATTTTTAAATTTATGGCAGCAGCCTTAGGTTACTATTGTATCTGTCTTGAAAACTAAAATTCTTATAATCAAATAGTTTTTATTCTTATTTTACATATGGCATATATAATTCCTACAAGCAACTACTGCAAATCTTAAAACATATATGCTATTAAATTAGGTATGTGAAATTATTAAAAGTTGTAAACCTATTGATTTGTTCTTAGAGTACAATCTAATGTAATATTTTATATTCGATTATGACAGATATATTTATTACTCTGAAGGCACTATATAATGTGCATGCAAAAGTTTTTTTTTTCCCTTTTCACTCTGCAGGTTGACTGTGCTTTCTAAATAAGGTTTCAATGAATTTGTTTTTAAATTGTAAAATTTATGTGATGTATCATGAACTGATGTTCCATAAATATTGGCAAGTACATGTAATAATTGTAGAGAAATGCTACAGTTTGCAAATGTAAGAAAATCTGCATACTATTCTATTGAACCATATCAATAAACACAATGCAGTATGATACTTATAAGAGTGGTGGGTGGTTGCAGTAAACTACAGTTTTAATTTAAAAAAAAAAAAAAACAATTTTATTTTTCTATATTCTCCTTTCAGGCTGTGTAGCAGAGATATGTTCCTTTGTGGTTTTAGAATGAACTTTGAGCAGTGCTGGATTATGAGCTTCATGACTTGGAGCTAATTAGTGCCTAATTAATACATATACTTTTGTGATTACTGCATCATGTACTTGATGATCATGAGCTTGATCTCTATCTGCAACTAGTTTTTGTAGAAATATAGGAAATCAATGCAACATGAAATGATAAACTATAACATTTACAAACACAAAATCTATATTTAAATGCAAGCTTGGGATTATGTTAGCTCTACTGAGCTAAGCCCAGTGGCAAGTCAAGGGCCAGCACAATCATAAGATAGCACAGGCATTTAGGGTGCATGGCCCAGGGAGGTGCAAGATCCTGCCCCCTTCCAGCAACTCACTCCTTGTAGTGTAGCAGACCACAGTAGAGGAGCTTTCTGCCTGACTGGGTAGACTGGTTTTTATTTGCCTTCTTTTGATCAATAGCAAAAGACAAATGTGAGGAAGGCTGAATTTGATGGACACATGTCTCTGTTCTGCCTATGTTCTCCTGCAGCGGTCTGCTCAGGCACAGTATGCAGGAAGGTGCACAGGTACAGGATGGGGGTAATTGACCTCTAAGGGTGCAGGCAACAAGACAGACAGGGGCTGGGGCAAAATAGTCAGACGTGCTTAGTGTGGAGTCACCCAGAGGTTCTGGGGGAGGAGACAAAGAGACACAGAGGGGTTGAGTGGAGAAATATACAAGGTGCTGGTGCAAAGAGACAGACATAGGCTTGGGAAGGGGAAAAGAGACAGACAGAGACTGGGGAGGAGACACAGAGGGGCTGGTGGGAGAAAGAGACAAAATGCTAGGGGAAAAGACACGCAGAGGGGCTGGGAAGGGAAACTGACATATATAGGGGTGGAAGAGGGGAGAAAGAGACACATAAATGGGCTGGGGGAGAGACACACATGGATGCTGGGGAAATGAAAAAAGAGGCACAAATGGGTTGTGGTAGAAAGAGGCACACAAAGGGTCTGGAGGGAAGTAAGAGACACAAGTAGAGTGCATGGCATACAAAGGGGAAATTGAAAATAAAATATACTAGTGGGGAATGTAAGACAAAAGGGGAATAAGATACACTAAAAGGGTACAATGTTCAAAAGAGGGGATACAAAACAGGTGCAAGAAATTCAAAAGTGGGGGTAAAAAATCCTTGCACTGGTCCTCAGTGCATGGCTACCTCTATAGCAGAGAGCAACTGCTGCTTACTCTCATCCAATGAGCTAAGCAACGCAGTGCAGGGCTAGGCTCAGACAGATAGTTTCTAGCTCTCTGGCTCAGGCAGTGGTGGAAGTATCAGAGCCCAGGTAAGAAGTTAAAATATTCTAAAATGGTTTGACTACTTACCATAACACTTCCTAAGTTAAAACATTAGTATTGTGTTTTAAAATAAATGAATACATGCTTTATTTGCATTATTCTAGATGTAAAACACTTATTCTTTTTGCTGGGCACCGACACCAGGAGGGGGCCCGGCGGCTTGCCCTGTATGCCGCCGGGCTCCCTCCAATCAGTCTGCCCAGCAGCTCCGGTATGCAGCTCCGCCGGGTGCAGAGCTGCAGACCGTGTGATAGAAGTCTCGCGAGCTCCCAGGGCGTTACCATGGCAACACTCTGGGAGCTGTGAGACTTTTATTACAAGGTCTGCAGCTCTGCAGCCAGCGGAGCTGCAGTCCGGAGAGTTACCCCACTGGACCACCAGGGAGGACACTGGACCACCAGGGAATTTTTGAAAGGTAGGACACAGCCCCCACATCCTGCCCCCTAACCCCCCACAATGTAACCCCTTCACTCCCTGCCCTCCCCACAGTGTAACCCCTTCACTCCCTGCCCCCCCACTGTAACCCCTTAACTCCCTGCCCTCCCCATAGTGTAACCCCTTCACTCCCTGCCCTCCCAATGTAACCCCTTCACTCCCTGCCCTCCCCAATGTAACCCCATTCACTCCATGCCCTCCCCACAGTGTAATCCCTTCACTCCCTGCCCTCCCAAATGTAACCCCGTCACTCCCTGCCCTCCCCACAGTGTAACCCCTTCACTCCCTGCCCTCCCCACAGTGTAACCCCTTCACTCCCTGCCCCCTGTGTCCCCACAGTGTAACCCCTTCACTCCTGCCCCCTCCCCACACTGTAACCCCTTCACTCCCTGCCCCTCCCCACACTGTAACCCCTTCACTCCCTGCCCTCCCCACAGTGTAACCCCTTCACTTCCAGTCCCCCCTCCCACACTGTAACCCATTTCACTCCCGGCCCCCCCCTCCCCACACTGTAACCCTTCACTCCTGGCCCCTCCCCACACGGTAACCCATTCACTACCTGGCCTTCCCATTGTAAACTTTTCTCCCCCTGCTCCCCCACTGTAGCCTTTTCTCCCCCTGCCTCCCACACTGTAGCCTTTTCTCCCCCTGCCCCCCACAAACACCCATGCATTTAGACGCAAACATTACAAACAAGTACACAACTACATTCCAATGGCAACAGTACATACAAATATACCCATACATACACACATATACTTAATACAAAAACATGCTTACATTCAAACGCTCAAACACTGCTCACAAATATAACCCTGCAATGATAAGAAAATGGTAGATCCCCATCTGGTATAGCATTGTTGAAGTTCTCTGACAGATAGAGATCTACCTTTTGGCCACACTTGCACTAGAGGGGGGCCCAGAAAACATTCTTGCACCAGGGCTAACTCTACATTAGTTCCACCACTGGGATAATCAATGTGAGGTACCTGGATGAAAGAGCAGGACACCACACTTCTGATTCTGATTCTGTGAGTAAGCAGTTGTATGTCTCTAAAACTGATTGCCATGATGTGCAAAGTTTCTGCCTGTAAAACTGCTGATATCCCAGAATTATGCCTCTAAAATTGCCATGTTATGCCAATTTTATGCTTTTAAAACTGATTGCCATGGTGTGCCAATTTTATGCATCTGACTGTTTGCCATGGTGTGCCAATTGTATGCCTTGGAAGCTGATTGCCATGATGTGCCAAGTTTATGCATCTAAAAGTGATTACCTTGATATGCCAAGGTGTGCCAATTGTGTGCATCTAAAGCGGATTGCTATGGTGTGCCAATTGTATGCCTCTAAAGCTGATTGCAAGTGGGTCTCGAAAAATTACTGTTTTGAAAAGTGGGTCTTGGCCCATAAAAGTTTGGGAAGCCCTGATCTACATGCTCTGTTCCTGTCATGTTTGAGTTTTTTTTTTTAGATTGTAGATATGTGGAATATCTCTCATATTGTGGTGACATGTTCCTCCTTACTGATGCAGAATGTGGTGGTTCCAGTGAAAAGGCTGGCTAAAAAGTACTGTGCAGTTGTAATGTGATGTTGCGCAGGTGATGTTACTGCTGATTCAGTGACTGAGTATGTAGATGGACATATGGTGATTTGTATGGCTTTTTAGAAGACTGGACAGAAAGTAGCATTATCACACTTTCCTACCAGGATTACAAATTCTTCATCCCCTCTCACAAGTGAAGGTAATGTAAGATTATAGTCAGAAGTAAGAATGACTTCTGTTTGAGCTTGACAAAGACACTCTATGTGTTGAAATGTTGATGGGGCCACTTTATGGTGGAATAAATCTTCATTTTATTAATTTATTATTTTTATTCTGTTTGAGGTTGTTCTGACCATGATAAAATAACACTGAAAATGGTTAAGGTAGCGCAAAAAAATACAGTCTAATCACATGTTGATAATAAACATATAAACATTTATTGAATCTTATATGAAGTCTAAAATATATATTTAAAATACAATGACAAAAAAACCTTATACAACAATAATTATTGCTATACTGACTGTGCACACTACTAAGAAATATAGCAAAAAAACAGACTGTGTCAATTAATGAAATATAAGGTAAAATAGAAATATACCATAAAAAATTGAATAAAAAATATGGAATAAATAAAAAAATATATAAAAATAAAAATGAGAGTGCAATGGCAGAAAAAAACAGAGTACGGAAAAAAAAAAAAAACAGGGGGGGGAGTACAACCTTGTATAGTTTGCTGACAGCTTACTTTTGGGGATGCGTTTGTGCTGACATCCTTCTGATTAAATATGAAGAGAGTATGGTCTGCTGCAGCGCTGAGTATTGAAGCTGTTACTGCTACAAACTATCCAAATAGTGAGTGCTGCTGGCTGACTGCCAGGGAGTCCCGTTGTGGAGCTGCACAGGGTAGTGGAGATGAAATCCTTTAGAATATGTTGCGGCCGCTCACATAAAAAGTGAAAGTAATTGCATCCGCACGTAATGAATAAATGCAGTCGCTCTTGATGAATCTGTGTGAGGTCTGGTCTGGTCCCAATCTTCTCCGTTGATCCTACATGTTTTGTGAGCCTGCACTCACTTCTTCAGGGATGATAATGGAGTATGGGATATTGAAAAGGATCTATTATGTAGGCATGCAGTCCCAATTAACAGCACATTCCAATTACACAGAGGATATAAGATATATATAATTTTATGGCAGGACATGAGGCTTCATATTTGCTTTACCTTCTTTACTGAAACCTCCAGCAGCAAAGAAACAGTTAACAGAACTTTTCAAAACAACCAATCAGAACAAAGCAACAGTAGTATAAAACCCCTAAGCAGGCTCTTCCACTTCCTCTTTCTTTGCTGCTGCCTCCAGTTGAGCACTCACCAACTCAGAGTTGTCTCTGCTCTTGGTTGTTTTTTTTATCCTACATGCTGCTTGTTTATTTAAACAGTCTATTTAATCATTCTATTTGCTAGGTTTGTTTAGGCAGCTTAATTGCTGGATTTATGCAGGGTTCTTGCTGGATTTGTTTTAACAGTTTGTCTGCTGTGTTTATCTAGGCAGTCTATTGCTGGGTTTAGCTAGGCAGTCTATTCTGTGTTATTTCCTATACCACTTCATGCTATGTAGCTGCTGTATCACTTGTTAACATCTGTTGATGTATTTAGGCTATTTATCTGATAGATTCTGGATACTGCTCATTGATTTATTGTTATTCTGGGTTACTTTATGCAGTTTTTCTCACTCTTCTGTATGGAGAATGGGTGTCCCTGCTATGATGCTTTGGCTCTGCCTGTAATCTGTTTCCCCTCCCCGGGTTCTCCTGCTGGCCTCTGTCGCCCATACCCTTTCTCCCTTATTCCCCACCTGCACCCCGCAGCCCCTGGCCTCTTGCTGAGCAGCTTTTTGAACCGTGGCAGTGCCGTGCGATCACCACGTGGTAGGCCGCGCTCGGTTTTTGCAGCTGTGGTGGCCATTTTGTTGGAGCCGCAGCGGCCATTTTTTCGGAGCCGCATGAGCTCCGTGCGTTGCGAACAGCTCAGTCTCACCCACCGAACTGCCCTGCTGCCTGCTGGCCATGTGGCCACCCTCCCCTCTCCCTATATCAGGGGAGATAGCCCAGTTTTTCAGCTATCCTCCTACTTACTGTGCCTGTCTCACATGCTGCATATGTAACAGATCCTGAATAGCAGGATCTGTCCCAGGCACTCTCACAGCTCACAACTGCAGCTTACCATGATGTCTGATGCAATGTGACTATGTTCTCTATCTTCGCAGTAGACTTGTCACGCTTTTTTT